GGCTATATCATGCTATATCATCCTAGGGTGGGGTTCGGGCTCGTTCGTGGCATGTCGGGACACAACCTGGGCATGAGAAGCAGTGGAAACACTTGAAGGCACCGTGACTCGCAAGGACTCGCACTCGCATTTTTTTGGCTCGGAGTCGCCAGAAGCCGCTACAGTGCAGCCAGGTGCAGCCGCTCGACGCTGCTCGCCCCTAGGCCTCTGCATCGAGCACGTTGTCTGGGGTGTGTTGCACATTGCGGCTGGGTGGTGTGAGATGCTTGAAGATGCTGGTTTTGCAGAGGCCTCCCCTGCAGTATCTGCTGTACAAGCTGCAAGACTCGCGAGACTCACCCCTCACTTCGGTAGAACCCCAGGTGAAACGCTCTCGATCGCACGCAGAAACTCTATCCACTTCGATTTCTCCTTCACCGGAGCCACGTAGCTGAACTTGCTCCACACAGATGCCGAGTACTCATCCGAGGTCATGGATGGCGCCTTAGCCTGTCCGACTTTCTTAGCCCGGAGCAGCGTCTCAAAGTACGCAGGTGTTCTGGCTTTCAGTTCATCCCAGGTCGGCTTCTTGGCCATTGAGAGATTCTTGAAGAAAGTGGGGACACCAGACTCGTCCAGCATCGGTGCATCCACCAATCGCTCGAACATGGACCGGCATTTGTCCATGTATCGCACCATGCACTCTCGGCCAGCTTTGGTCGGTGGGAAGCTGTGGATTGTGAAGAGCTCCGCAGACTCGGTCTGTCCATCATCAGCAGGCTCGCTGCTCGCCATCGCAACCCCTTGCAGTTTCAGTGCAGCTTTGACCTTCTCTTTGTCAAGGTACAGCAGGATCCGCCATTCATTCTCATCAACTGTTTCGACAGGGATGCCGTAGAAGATAGCAGCATCGCATGAGAACGGGTCCATGCACCAACTGGGAGACAAGGACGTGGCCTGGTAGGTCACACTGCTGAGCTTCTCGAGCTCGACCAGGTGGACCCATCTGCAAGCAGCAGCTTGCACCTCGGCCTCGCAAGGTTTGCTGCCAGCCTTGGATTTTCTGCCGATGCTTCCCCGCCAGACCTGCTCGATCAGTGCAAGCTTCACCTCGCCAAGCTGGTGCAGTCTGCATGCCACGATCTGGTAGGAGCGGTTGCAAGAGTCGTCAGCAGCCGGGGCCCGGTGCACGCTGGGCCGGAAAGAACTCAAAGGCTCTGCCACAGGTTTGTCGCCCTCTCCCTCCTGAGCCCTTGCAGCAGCCATCTTGGAGAATTTCATCCAACTGCCAGCTCCTNNCCTCGTTGTATGTGTTGTTATGTGTTATTTTAATGCCCTGCTCGTTTAAAAAAAAAGAAGAACGGAAATACATTAAGGTTATCAAAGAACCCTGGACCCTTCAAGAAAGCAATGACATGTCATTTGTCGGCCCGAGGGTCTGGATTCCCGGCCCCCCACAAGACCATATGCCCTCTGCGCCTTGGCCAGTGCATGCATCAAGTCGTTGTGGCGATTCTTGTTCCGCTGGGTCCCACCCCGAATCTGTGCAAGACTGAGGAAGCCTTCTTTCTCCCTGATTTCCGTCACTAGCTTGACGATCTCGGGGGCGAGCTCGTGGCACCGCTGCACGGCCCGCCTGTCAGAGTCGGCCTCGTGGGGAGAGAACGAAGCGAAGTTCGCACGCTCTAGCATCGAAGCCAAAGTCTTCGCGGCCGGTCGTGGCTTCTTGTTGGGGCTCATGGCTGGGGCGGCCTCCACTGTGTCTGAAGTTGGATCCGCAGCAGGCTCAGGAACGGTTTTGGCCAAGGCAGCGATCTCTTCTTTGGCTTCTGCTTCCATGGCGAGTCCATCCAAGGTGGCGGCAAGGTTTTTAGCAGGATCAACCGAAGCAGCCTCACACATTGCCTCTTCGGTCTCCTCCTCGGAACCAAGCTCGCCCTCGTCCTCCTCGGGAGGTTCCTCGGGGCCACCCTGGAACAGCAAGGCCTGACCCACGTCTTTGAACCAGGTTCGCAGCCTCTGCTCGATTGTGGCCGGATCCATGTTTACTCCAACCACTGCCCGGAGTGTGCAGACTGCCCGCAGAGCCGAGTTGGCGATGTCAGTGGCCTCGTCGTCGGTCAATCCCGTCCATGTGACGTCCCTGTCCTGTGGTTTGGGATCCTGCCCTCGCTGCCGCAGATGCATGCGCATTGTGGAAAGCAAAGCCTGCTTCAAAGTAACGGCCCCTTGAGCTCCCTGTTTGATCTGCGAGAAGGCATGCTCGGCGGAATCCTCCATCGTCTTGCTGGGATTCCATGGGCAGTCAGCAGTCCATCGCCGACATCTGCAGGGGACAAGCAGGATCTGAAAGGGTGGCTAAGCACAACCCGACACACTCCTCCCCTCCCCTCCCCTCTCCTCCCCCCTTCCCTTACAAACTAACCTCCAGTGCCTCTCAATCATATGGGCGGTCACATACAAGAGATTCTTGCATGTCGTGCGGTGGAGAAAGAAGCTCTGCCACTGGCCCCCGTCATTCTGTGCCCAAGCCTCGGAAATGCACAGCAGCACCAGGTAGTAGCCGCTCAATGCGTTGTGCAGAAGCTCCCTCGGGGTGAAAGCATCAGCACCCAACCAGATGCCGGTTGTCAATGCCATCACCAGCATGAAGAGCATGACGCCAGGCGTGTCCCAGCTCTTCAGGCT